TGGTTTAATCATATAAGAACTGTAGGGACTGGGATTTGGATGCATTTTTTTTTTAAGTTGTATTCCTAAGTCATCACTAAAGAGCAGGGTACTTATTTAAAGACGTTGAGATAGTCCTTCTGTATAAATGTGCATTTTGTCTGCAGCCAAGAATTTAACAAAGAAGTGAAAATTCTATTCTCTTCAGGTAGTCTGTCAACTCTGTATCTCACCAAACTGTACCTTAATAGTTAAGTTGTGGGAGTATATTCTTCCCTGTCCCATGTTACTAGTGATGTGGGTGCAAATAAGGAAAATGGAGGAGGAAAGATTTCATTGTATAGAAGATGAGAAATCTTGCATTTCTAATGTTTGCAAACAGAAGGTTTCTTTAATCTCTGCTAACTGGTCATGAGGTAAAAGGAAAAATCCTGAGGCTAGGGAACAGAATTAAGACTTTCTGTTAGTTGTTGTTGTTGCTGTTGTTGTTGTTGTTGTGGAATACTTTACTGTGGAGGAAAGGAAAAAAAACCACACATGAGTATGTATTTACCCCTGTGAACAAGAGATTGTTCTGAGGCTGTTGCAGACTGTTGTATGTACTTTGGAGGTGTTAGAATGCTTTTACAAGGCATCAGACTGATATGAAGGCATCATTTAATGAATATTCATATATTAATGTCACACACTAACACAGCAGCAATATTACAAATGATGCAAGTTGTGTGCAGTGATTTTACCATAACTGAACTTTTAAATGGCCTTCCAGAGTTTGGAAGATTGGCTTCTATCAAGAGATTGAGTGAAAAATCTTTAAAATTCAAATGCTGTAGTAATGCTGTTTCCTATATTTTTTTTTCCCTGAAATTACATTAGTATAATGATATTTATTATCAAAATTTGTTTAGGCTTTTTCTGTCATTTCCTCTGTCTCATTTTAATATAAGTACAGAAACCTAATTTTACTGTGATTTATGCTTATTATCAGGACAGTCAGATGTTTATACCGTAACCGAAAGTGAGGAAAGAACATGAAATTAATCCAAAAATCACAAAATTATTGATAAATGATGTAAATGTGCCTTAAAAGTTATTTAAAAAGATCTGTTGTCTGTTCACATAAATAATTTGAGTCCTATTTTCCATAAGCACTTTTAATATAGTAGACTTTTTTTTTTGCTGCTTGACGTTTTTGCCACAGTCTCTCAAATGGAAATTTAGAAAGTAATATTGCTGTGGAGAGATGATATTAGTTGGCTTTGTGTTTTCTCAGATGTGTATTAGTTATTTTTTCTTCTGAAGACTGTAATTTTCGTCTACGTTTTCCTTTGAGTTAAGCAATTTCATCTGAGGTCCACATGCTTTTGGTTAGTTTGTTGAAATGAGCTATGCTAAAGTTTCCATTTCTGACTTAAAGAAAGATTAAAGGAAACGGAATTTTTCTTTGGTGTCTTGTTATAGAGACCTGCAACATCCAAATGTTCCTAATAAAACTGAGCTTGAGTAAAATGCATATTTCGTTTTTTCCTTGCCATATACTTTGCCATACAAGGAGAAACTGTTTTCCTAAGGAAAATTCACTCTCATCGAAAAGTAAATGTGAAGAAAACAGTACTGTGGAGGTTATTTACATTTTGCATCTCAGAATGTAAAAAAAATAGTAACCAACAGAGTTATTAAATTTAAGCAGGCATTGCTGTTTTTAGCTGAGTTTGCGGAAGATTGGTTTTTCACATCATAGTCAACTATGTTTGTCAGCGAACTTATTTTCTAAGCTATGGGACTGAGTGATCACAGGGGCCAGGCTGTAGTTTGTTACTGTCTCCTCTGAAGAATATAGATGGGACAGTGAGCCTTCATTATCAGTAGTTTGTGGGTAAGCAGTGAATGTTACTCCATGATGCTGAGATTTATTTAGAAAAAAAAAAAAAAAAAACCAACGATGCCAACTGTTATTTAAAAAGAAATTTGGAATTTTTTCCTGGCCCTGAATATTCAATGTTGCTGGATAAAACTGAAATGCCATTACTAAATTCTTTGTGTTTGTTCAGTGGGATGCAGTATAATCTGTTTCAGTTCAGCTCGAAACAGTGGGTCTTACCTGTATATTTAAAGTGATGAAGTGTTTTGCGTTACACGATCCAAAAATCTGCCCAAGATCTTATGTAACCTAAGGAGCCTGAGAGAGAATATTTTTTTCTTTTCTTTTCTTTTCTTTTCTTTTCTTTTCTTTTCTTTTCTTTTCTTTTCTTTTCTTTTCTTTTCTTTTCTTTTCTTTTCTTTTCTTTTCTTTTCTTTTCTTTTCTTTTCTTTTCTTTTCTTTTCTTTTCTTCTCTTCTCTTCTCTTCTCTTCTCTTCTCTTCTCTTCTCTTCTCTTCTCTTCTCTTCTCTTCTCTTCTCTTCTCTTCTCTTCTCTTTTCTTTTTCCCTTTTTTGCACTGAATTGATGATCTGAGAAGGAATTAGAGTGGTTTTTTTTTTTAATGTTTGACATGGTAGACCAAGCATCCAGTTAAATTCACATCACCATACTTCGTCTGGCTTCCAAGACAGGCACGTGCATTTAAAAAGGCACAGTTTTCTAATATATTGTGTTTGGAACCAAAGAGAGGTATTACTCCATTGTGTCTGGAGAGTGAGTTTGGGTCTTCTAATGATACTGCAAAGGCAGCCTCCTTTTCCTGATCCCTTAACCAAAGGCAATAGCATCAGAGGGAAGAAATGAAGGATCAAAGGTTAGATGCTGCTGCATTCACCAGAAGAGGACAGTGGTGAAAAGCACCAACTTAGGTTTAATGAACTATTGATTGATAAATTTATATTCTCTAAAGAAATAGGTGGAGCACAGTTAAATCACTTGTCCCCATTTATCTTCCTAATCGCTTAAACGGTACCATTTTTAATATGACCTCAGTTTTCAAGTTTTGTCTTTTTGTACTACTAATAAGTACTTAACATATATGCAGGTATAGATAGAGGTATGTGGATGTGTATTATGGCAGAAATACAGCCTGATGCACTTACAGAACAGGTTTTCAAAGTAATCACAGTCCAATTAGAGACAAGAAAAGCAAAGTCTCCAGTTTGTCTTCTTAGACAAAAATACTGTCTCTTTTGGTTTTACTTTGGAGTTCAGTGTTTAATGGCATAGAGTGCAATAGAAAATGCTATACATAGCTGTATAGCTGAGGTGTGAAAGTTAAAAATGTTTTAGATTATTATGTGTGCGCAGATGCACATTTAATGTGTGGTGGAGAACAGGCATAGTACAAAAGTACAAGTAGGGAGAAACAATTTTGGAAAGATAGAATTCTGAAGAAAACTGCACTCAGCAGAGTCAAGTCAAAAGTCTCTTTGTTTAGTAGCATTTGGAGTGAGCTGTCAGGCATGGGCTTTGTTAAACTTGTTCTGTTTGCAGCTCAGACTGTTGTGTTGGAATAGTCGTGCTTCTGTGCAGCAGTTCCAGTTGTAGGAGTTAAAAATTTGTGTGTGCAATAGGTGCAAATGAAGGCTGGAGATAATGTTGTGCTGAGTGAGGGGCTGTGAATGGCTTGTTTGTTTTTTCTTAATGAATTGACAGGAAATATGAAATAAATTTGTGTTCATAATATAGTACAAGAGAAAAATCTGCATGATGACTTTGAAAATGTGGGTTTGAACTATGCTAAGTATGCATTTTTTCCCCTTTCTGAACTGTGTTTTTTAAAAAAACAAATAATTAAATGTTGTTAAAATACCGAAAGCCGATTAAATCACACACTGAAGTTGTTGAAGTCAAAAGTGGAGTCTAATGCATAGACATACTGGTGACGTGTATAAAGTGCAGTGAATCTGTGATGAACAAGGTTCTGTGTTTGCTCAGGTATCACTCACTTTGCAGAGTTGTTGCAAATTGCTTGTGGAATCGTGTAAAAATATTTTATTGTAGGAACAGAATGTTTCCAAGATCTGCACAATTTCTGAATTTTTAGAAAATGTGTTTCTTAAGAATTGGAATTTGTTACAAAGGCAAGTAGCTTCTCATTCCACAGCACTGACAGTAAGAAAAAAATTCAGGAGGCATTTAATACTCATATTTTTCTATTGAACTTTTTTGTGAAATACATTAAAAAGCAAAGAAGTTAAACCTGTGGGAATTGTATTCGTTTTGTCATGTGTGTTTTTATTTCACTTGGAAAACAAAAGTGGCTCTTTTTTAATTGGAGTTATGAATGTCAGTATGCATGATTTTAAATGGTAATACGTTTTTGAACTGTGTATTATAATTTTTAAACTAACAGGAAGTTAAAATTGTTTCTCAAAATACCTTTATCTGTACTTTTCCCTCAGAAAATAATATATGAAAGTTGTTCCAAAAGTAACGCATCCTGTTTTGTGATGCTAGCCCATGATGAGTATGTTAGTAATTTTGCAGTAGAGGTTGAACTTTCCCACCAGTATTCCATTGCATTTTGTTGCCATGTGACAGATGGCAGCAACAGAGCACACTGACAGAATGGTATCTGACATGGAAGTGCAGATGGAGCAAAGGTGTGTCACTGAATTCTTCCATGTGGGAAAAATGGCACCAATTGACATTCACTGACACTTGTTGAACGTTTCTGGAGACCAGCCAGTGGATGTGAGCACAGTGAGGTGGTGCGTTTCAGCAGTGGTGGCAGCAACAGTGGGTCATCTCCACTAGTGCAGTACTGTGTGAGCCTGGCATGCATGCTCTTGTTCATCACTAGAGAATGCAGAGCTAATGGTTGATAGCTAACTGCTGAAGAACAGTCTTCTGTAGCTGAGAATGTGCTCTTTGAAATTTTATTGTTAGTATACTCCTTGTATCTGTTGTCATTTCCATGGAAATAAATGGGAGGCATTATTTTTGGAGCAACCTGTGTATTTTTTCTATTTAATTTTTTCACTCATTAATCTTCTTATTTTCTGTCCTTAAGGTACTTAATTATCTGCAAAATACTGTTTTGTAAAGTAATTATTTCTTTAAACATGCAATCCTTTTCTTCACGTGAATTTTAGGTATGCAATTCCTCCAGAGCATGGGAAACGGCTTGAACGACTGGCTCAAGGTAATATTTTCTGTGTTTCTGTATGTGAGACATTTGAAGGACAAGTCTCCAGCAAATTGAAAAACGTCCTCTATGAACTATTGTGCTTTATTAGTTCTTAATATCGTGTGACTTTTATGTTTGCAAGCCAGGAACGCCTTTTAATACTCTGAGGAATTTTAAGGGCGCAAAGTAAGCCTTTTTCTTACTACTTTATTTTGTAGTGGCATTTTTAGGTTGATGGTGTTTATGAAAATAACACCACAACATTTTGTCCTTCTTGTTCATTAGATTTTCATGGCAAATATCTTTGCCTCTTTCCATGCCCTTGCTTTTCCTTACCATAGTTTCTTGCCATCGGAAACTTTTGCATTTATAGTCAATTGTAGTTAAATTTGGTTCAAAGAAAGAAATGTTTAAGAGAACTGTGTTTTCTGAAGTTCCACAGAAGTGGAGTGGAATGCCAGGATAGAGAAGGGAAACTTAGTACCTCTGAGTTGGGGTGGCTCACAAAATACACTAGCTGTAAATCTTATTTATAGCAGCCTACTGGCCAACGAGCAGCATAATAATGTACACTAATTCCTCAAAGCATGTAGCGACTTGTGCTCTCCAAAGGTGTGAGGAACAGCTTTTGAGAAGAAGCAGAGAATATTGTGGGTATGGGGTCTAAAGAATAAAGAAGGATAATTTATAGAAAAATGTTTCTTGCACAGTTATTTGTTTTATTTTAAATAGCAACTACAGAACTCCTCTTATTTGTAGATTGAGTAGTACATATGAACACAGGAATAATCAGGCATGTTTCTTGACCTGCAGCCTATGTTTTATAGCCTGCTATTGATGATACTATATAAGGAATGCCAGAGGGGTTGTGGATGCCCCTAGGGGCATTTGAGGCCAGGCTGGAGGAGGCTCTAGGCAACCTGGTCTAGTGATTGGTGACTCTGCCCACGGCAATAAGTTGAAACTAGATGATCTTCGAGGTCCTTTTCATTCCTGCCCGTTTTGTGATTCTGTGACTCTATGAATACCACTGAAAGCTGATAATTAGATATTGTGTATCTGGACAGTCTTCTGAAAACACTTGTTCATTTTCTTTTCATATCTATTTTATGCACGTATATATGCATGGCAGTTTTTATGAGCAATAATTAAACTAGTTATTGAGAACAATAATATCATGTGTATCACTGAGATGTGAGGGTAAAGACAAGAGCTTGCAGCCTTAAAAACACAGATTAAAAAGGCAGATTTCAACCTGGATAATTGCTATCATTATTCTGAAATTTCCCACATGAAAACTGAGAGAGTTTCTGCTGAGAGAGTTGTCATGTATTTCTGATTTCCACATCTTTAGTTTATCACCTGCAAAGTATAAAATTATTCTTGTGTCTATGTTGAAGGTTCTGATTTTCACTGATAAGTATTTTGATGCATATGGTAGACCAGGTGAATCCCAGTTCCCTCAGCCTCTCCTCATAAGACTTATGCTCCAGACCCCTCACTAGCTTCATTGCCCTTCTCTGGACATGATCCAGGACCTCAATGTCTTTCTCTTAGTGAGGGGCTGAAAACTGAACACAGTACTCAACGTGCAGCCTCACCAAGGCTGGGCAGGCACAGAGGGACAATTACTTCCTTTCTTGTGCTGGCAGCACTATTTCTGATGCAAGCCAGGATGCCATTGGCCACCTTGGCCACCGTGGCACACTGCTTGCTCATTGACCAATACCTGCAACCACTCTGCCCCAAGCCTGTAGCATTCCTTGGGGTTCTTGTGGCCAAAGTGCAGGACCCAGCACGTGGCCTTTGTCCCACTGGTCTCAGTCTGGTGACCCAGCCTGTCCAGATCCCACTGTATGGCCTCGCTACACCCCAGGCAGATCAACAGCCAACTTGGTGTCATCTGCAGACTTATTGAGGGTGCACCGAATGCCCTCATCCAGGTGATCAATAAAGATACTGAAGAGGGCAGGCCCCAGTAGCAGCCCCTGGGGAACACCACTCCTGACTGGTCGCCACTTGGATTTAGCTCCATTCACCACCACTCTCTGGGCCTGGCCTTCCAGCCAGTTCTTCAACCTGCAAATCTTTGATCCACACCTTGATTACTCAGGAGAAGCAAAGATTTGAGATTCTGTATGTCCACTTTTGATGTTTACTGGGAAGATGGTATTTGGGTTGATGGAATTTTTACTTGATACGGTTGAGCTGCTTTCAATCATACTATAGGATTTCACATTGACTGCTTATAGCTGTGCAGCAGTTTATTGCTAACTCTTCAGGTTTATGCATTCTGTAAACTAGTGTGTGCTCAACACTTTTTTTTGAGGGCAAGGAAAGCGAATGGGCAATTTCAGCAACATCTGTTCATTCCTTTTTAAGAAGTAAGTGTGAGTGATGGGTACCATTGTTTGGAGCAGACTAAAAAAACTCAGTTTTTTCTTTGACGTACTGTAGTTTACTCAGATATGGGGGTAACCTGTACAAATTCAGGAACTAGGTAACTTTTTGAGAGACGTGCTTTGCTACACCTTTAAAAAAATAAGTTCACATTTTCATGGGAACTTATGATGTTGCTTAGTGTAAATTTCTATAAGAGCCATAAGGTGGTGGAATCACCGACCCTGGGGGTGTTCAAGGAAAGGCTGGATGTTGTGTTGGGGGACATGGTTTAGTGGGAGCTATTGGGAATAGGTGAACGGTTGGACTGGGTGATCTTTTAGGTCTTTTCCAACCTTGGTGATTCTATGATTCTATGATTCTATGAAAATACTATGTTAGCAGATGAAGTCCTGAGATTTCTCAAGCTCTTACTGCTGCTAACGGTGGCTTACTGTGTAGGAGGAGTGGGACGTAGAAACATGGGGAAGTTGTGGAAATCTCCAGAAACATGGTATGTTGGAAGCTGATAGGACATGTGGTGTGGGGAGTAGTGTCTCAGTCAGAATTGGCAATAAGCTAAATGAGACTTTCTTCTCAGTACAGCAGTATCACTAACAGTTCTTAGGACAAGAACCAGTGAAAGTATTGTAGGACAGGCAGAGCTCAGGCCTGAGTAATACTGGCTTAGACATTTTTCCACAGATGGGAGCAGTAACCTACCCATGCTTCATAATAGCTTGGTTTAATGAAGCTGCCCGAGCATGTCAAATCAGCGTTTTCAGTGCACACCTGCATGGAAGTTGGCAACCACTGCTGATAAGTGTATGACAGTACATGCTACAAGGATGTGTAGTGAATACAAATCTGCATTCCTTGCTGAATCAGAATAAGTGTGATCGAAACTTTATTATTTTTATTTCAGAACTGGGTTTTGAACAGTGAGTATCAAATTGAAAATGGAATCAGATGTTGAACAATGAAAGTCACATTTTGGATAGTTTTTTTATCTATTGTATTCAGGGAATGAAGGTAGATTTCTGTAGGAGAGCTACGTGCTCATACATAGGTTTTTATTGTTACAGAAAGTAGGTGTGTTAGTTTTACAGACAGATACCTCCAACATTTCCTGCTTTCAGTGTTTGACTCTAATATCTTCTATGTTGTTTTTCATCGAGTAGGCTGCTTTTGTGATATCTTTGGTCCAGCTAGTAGTGTGGAAGATACAGTTCTTAAGATGTTGAACTTTATACTCACCTTGACATATTTTTCACTTGTTTTTGTTTGTATTCTTCTATTTCTGATTATTTCCCTGTTTAAGAAGACTAAGTCTTCTGTGGTCTTCTACTTTGCAGCTGCTGCCTGCTGCAATACAGTCTGAATTTTACAGTAAGGTATATTGAAAAGGTGAATATACAGAGTAATCTACATGGCAACAATTCAGTTAATAAGAAAAGTTCATAGAAGATAGCATAATTGAGACTTAGTGCTTAATTACGTGTGTATTAAAAAATTTCAGTTGTACTTTTACAAGTGTGTAACGTGAAGAAAAGTAGTTTATGCAAGAAGGCTGATGACTGACTAATTCTTACTAAGATAATCGAATGCTCCTATAGTAATAAAAATAATAAAACGTTACATTAATTGTGGCAGGCTGTCTAAGTCAAGGCAACAGTTGATACATTAAAATTAAAGGAAGGCTAGAATATTTTCCATTAACTTGTCTACGTGTCACAATTATCACACATGCCTTTTGTGCATGAATGCTTTCATCTTTGCTTTCCATTGAAGTCTTGACTGACTGCGGCACCTACAAATATTTTATTTGAAATACATTAGACTTGAATCTAATCAAGGCAACAGTTTGATTTTACCCTTCAGCTGCTTACTCATTTATGTAAGCTTTTTTCAGTTTTTTGTAGACATAAATGTATTAAGAATCTCAAGTGAGCTGTTACTGCAATTTTTGTATGTGTTACGTTGATCTGTAATATTATGGTATTCTTAGGGATTTCTCATTTCATAAAATGAGTTGGAAAATAAAGAGAATCACAGATGACATTTTCAAGGATTTCAAGTTCTTTTAATAGTTGACTTAATTGCGGAAATTATTTTAGAGAGCAAGTGGCATTTATCTGGTATTTAATTATGTTCAAGAAGAAATTAAAGTAAAATTTGACCTAAGTGTATAGTGATACTATAAAAAGCTTTGTATGGTATATGGCATTAATTAGTCTGTTTCATGGAGAAGTCATTACCTTTTACATAAGAGAATAAGTCCAAATAGTTTTTTGGATGAAAATTGACATAGAGTTTGCATAACTTGTAAGGGTCTCAAGTATGAAAGCTGCAGCAGCTGAGAAATTTAACTTTTTCCTAATTGATAGTTATATGAGTCAAGTTAGGAAAGTCATATCTAAGAAATAATAAATGCAAGTCCGTAACATATTCATCTGGATATAATAACACTCATATTTCACAGCACTTCATTTATGGCTTTTGTACTCTCTGGTTTATATGTCATACAAACTCTTCTTTGTGAGAATGTTCTCCCACTTACTTAAAAGAAGTGTGCAGTACATAAAGGTAAATAAAATGAAGTCAGATCACTACAAACTCACTTTAATAAGTTACAT